ATGACAGAGGAGGACTTGCTTACCATATACATTAACACATTTTGTTGGAAATTCTACTTTGTAGAAATGAAATTGGCTTCATATTCCTGAAGTTCATAGATTGCTCATCACTTATGCTTTAGTTTGAATTAGCCTAATAAGCTCAATTAGATCCATGTAATATGGCCAAGTGGGAATTTTGATAAGAAAAAATCATCAAGTATATCATTCTTCTCTGTGTTAGATGTGCCTACATAGAATGATATATTTTAGGGGTCTTTAACTAAATGGGAGTACCAGACAAAAACATGGAGTTGACGGCAGAATATAAGCAATCAAGGAAGAGAATGCATATAAAATGTTATATTCACTCGTTACTTGCAATATTAAGAAAGGCTATTTCTATCCAGGAGGACTTATCTCTGAAATAATTCTTCTTTTTATCTTTTGAGTTCTCTCAAAATTCCTTTACCTAGAATGTGATCATTTAAAAATGTATTTTCAAAAGTTGAGGTTCAAAATTAACTTTTCATAGTAAAGAAAAATAGATGAATTCTATATATTAGAATTGGTTGGGTTCTCAGTGTTAGTACAAGTTTTCAGTAGGTAGCTTTTTTAGTGCACCATTATTGTGATCCACCTAAGCATAAATAATAAATATATAGGGAAAAAAGGTCAGGAAATATGTTTTATTAAAATGAAGTTAAAAGTCAAGAAACACTAAAATAAAGGAAAATAACATCCGTATCTCAAATGAATATTAGGTACTAAATACATTTGATTGAATTTTGGCCCAAAGTAGATAGGTGAGGATTCTGTTACTAAGTATGACAGAGATATGCCAGGTATTTAGATACTATATTTAGATACTGTTTTAGATAACTGTATTTAGATACAGTTGAATCGTGTTTTTTTTTTTTCTTAGTTAAGATCTACTGGCCAGAATACACTGTATTCTCAGACTTTATGGTGAGGTATGTCAGAAACATGCTCCAAAGATAAGCAGACTTCTTACATTTCAGAACAAAGCAAGGCACAACTATGATAGTGGTTTCATAGTTTAAATTTGACTTCTTCTGTGTTAATTGAAGTTTTTTACATGTTATTCCTTCATTTCAAGAAACTTGTGTGCCATTGTCTCTACATATAATTTTCCAGTTTTGAATTAATACAGAACATTGTTGTACTATATTAGTACAAAGAATCAAATGCTTCTAATTCAGTAGTGATTTGGAGACATTTCCAGTTTAGAATGAGCTTCCTAAAGTACACATGAACAAAAGAATTAATTAAAGGAATAACTTACCCCATGCCTTGATTCACAGAAATAAGAAAATTCATGAGATATGCAAAGTAATTACTAACTTTTACAAAGAGTAGATCATGCTCTTTATAAGCAGAAATGCAGGTTATCTTATGATATTCATCATTTTAATTATAAAACATTCACTTTCCATTATTGCCTTAAATTAGCAAGCGCTTATTTTGTTTCCAAATCTTGAGCTATTCTGGGAAGATAGAGCAATTTTGCATAGACACTGAATATGGGGACAAATTAAAATATTTCAGGCAATCATCTATTTCAAAAATGTACTTGTCTTCAAATGCTAATGTCTACTCTCCTACCTGATTTTGTTTGAACTCTTAAAAGTACCAACTTCAGAGTTGGATATTACCTACAATAATTACACCAACAAACTAGAAGTTTTTGCAAACTCCTTAGTTTCCAGAGGTCCCTAGGGGAGTAGGGGAGAATAAAATACAAATAAACCACTGATAACACTGATAACCCTTTGGGATGACAGTATCCTGGCCTTTCCTTCAAAGTCTTGCACCTGAGCCAAACAAAAGGAAGCCTTCCTCCTCTCTCTGCAAGCCTAATCTGCTTGTAATGGGGGAGGGGAGGGAAGAACAAAGACTACACCCAAAGAGTGAAAGGCACTTGACCTTAGGAGAGAGAGTTTCTAGAGATGAGAGGAAATGCGGAAAATAGAGGAAAGCACATTCAAATATAACACAAGGTACAGAAAGGCTACCAGGGATGATTGCGGTAGCTTGGGAGGTCTCACAAGATGAAAGAACTGGTAAGTTAGGCATCCTTACTCTCCACTGTACAGAAAACTCGATTTCCTCTCAGGTGGAACTCCCCCCTTCCCCGATGCTCCCCCCACCCCCGCCGTTTACTCCCCTGCTCTCATTTATCATAAGAGCACGCTAGGATACTAGAACTTTGTTCTGTTTCCAGTTTTCGACTTCTTAATGTATCACTAAGCGTGCCTCCTCCTCACCAAAGTCCAGGCACTACTAAAAAGAAAACGAAAACAAATCACAAGAAAAATGCAAAAATAAATAAATAAATAAATAAGAAGACAAGAAAAGGAAAGAGAAAAGAAAAGAGAAGGGAAGAGAAGAAAAGGAGAAAAGTCAGCCCAGCAATGCAAGGTCTTTGGATTTCTCACTCAGTATCTCTTCACACTTTGGCCCCAGAGGTAACTGCAAATCCTTATCTCCTAACTTTCAGCGTTTCCTGCCACCTCACGGGAAAGCACGGCAACTGGGACAATCCTGAAGGTACAAGGAGTCACCCCCGCGTGCTACAGGACTTGGAAGTGCTCGGTCCTGTGGTCCCGGCTCGCAACTCCGCCGCCTGCCAATGAAGTTGCCAAAGCGGCCAAGTTTATAGTGGAACCGGGATGGAAGCACTTTCTTTCCGGTTGTCTCCAGGAGTCTGTGCCCTCCGTGCGCCGCAGGTCCTCACCGTGGACGTCTTGGAGACCCCAATATGCCACTCGGGGGAAGACAAAGTCACAGGGGAAGCGCCGCTGGTCTTAGTGGAGACTCTCCTGGACTTGAGTGGAGTTCGCTGGCTTGATTGTCCGCACCGACCCTTCGGGTTTTTTTTTTTTTTTTTGCTTGGGGTCTGGCTCTCATATTCGGATACAACGCCGCCTAGGCTCCCATGGAGATCCCCGGAGCCCGGATTCGGGTGCTGCTCCCCAACCTGCAGCGAGGCTGAGCGGCGGGAATTGCAGCCGGGGGCCGCGCTCCCCCAGAACAAAGCGGCCAGAACAGTTTGGATTACCTAAACTCAGGATTAGACCTGCAGCTCCGGGAGTGGCTCAGAGAGGAGCAGAGGAGACCGTGCGAGCAGTTTCCTCCTCAAGCATCCCGCTCCCTGGGCTGTTCCCGCAAAGGAGCTGCTGCGTGGGCCCTGCCTTCGCGTGGGTGCACGTGTGCGCGCTTGGGATGAGCCCGTGGCTGTGCTCGAGGATGCGCGCGCGTGTGCACCCGCGAGGCGACGGTAGAGCCTGGCGCAGCTCTATGGGTGGCAAAACGCTAGGGCGCCCAGCGCCAAGAATCCGCCCGATTGTGCCTTTGCCAGGCAGACCAGGAAGCGGCCCTCACGAGCCTGCTTCCCTTTGCAAATCCCAATTCCTCTATTCCCTTTGGATGCAGACAGGTTTGTGCGGCCGGCGAGAAGGAGAGCTGAGAGGCCAGGTGCACGCAGAGGCTGAGGACCACGTGCTAGTGAAACCCTAGAGGGATGCGAAAGGATTCCAAGGCTCCAACTGAAAAGAAACAGCTTGATTGCACTTGCAGTTCCCAGAGAGAATCCCTTTCTTCACTAATGGGCAGTAGAGAACGCGGATAGGGTCGGGGAGAGAATCGCCAGGAGTGGTGTTGTGGTCACCGGGCCAGCCAGGCAGAGCCCTCAGGGTAGGGCCCTACCTCACCGCACCTCCCCTCCCATTCCGGGCTGGTAAGCCTAGTGACCAGGCCTGACCTAGGACGACGATTGGGTTCCATTTCTGCCCTTGACATACTGGAATGTGGTCAACTACAGAGCTCACAAGGTCTCCTGCTGTGCAGGGTTGAGACCCAGATTAAGTGCTCGGTTCAGAGTCTCCTCCCGTCTGATAAATGAGCAAACCGATTTCCACAGACAAGCGGTACTGGAAGCCAGCCTCGGGTCACTGAGATCCCGTCGGCAGCCCTCCATTTCAGATTTCGCCCCACAGGCTGATCCGGTAACACGTCTTTATTCCATAACTGCAGGGCGCAGGGCGATCAGCAACACTGCTCTGGACCACAGGCTGGGGACGTCCCTAGAAGTTCGCCTTCTCCCTCTGGGTTTTCCGCCTCTTCCCTTCCCCCTGCCTGCAACGCCCCCGCGCCTGCTCTGCCTGGGGATTTGCCAGCCCGCTCCACGCACCCGGGGTAAATCGCTTCGGAACACGTCGGGCCGCGAGGCTCTAGAGCTCACAGCGGCTTTGCGGCCCCAGCCGGGGTCTCCCCTGCACCTGACTCTCGGGCTCTGCGTGGCGCGGCCGCTCCCCGTCACTGCGGCGAGGGCCGGGCTCACGGCCGCGCGCCCGCCGCCGCCGCCGCCACCGCCTCCATGCTGCAGCGCCGGGCGCAGTTCCTCCGGGCCAGGCGGCCGCCGTTGCCTGCACGCGCAGCGGAGTGGAGCCTGTCTCCGGGGCCCACTCCGGCCGCGGCCAAAGCACGGGATCGCCGCTGCTGGGCTCGCGTCTGAGCTTCCTACTGGCCTGAGGAGCCCCTGGCGGCCGGCGGGCCCCCGCGGCGCTGTGTGCAGCCGCGCGCAGGGAGCGGGGAGCGCGTGCAGAGGTTCCCGAGCCCAGCACCGTGTGTGCGTGCACGCGTGTGTGCGTGTGTTTGCGCGAGGTTTTCCTTCTTCCCTGGAGGATGTGAATGGCTTCGCAGCTGGCTACTCCCTTAGGATTCTTGACTTTGGAGAGCTCTGGACTGTGAGCACAACCCACCCATCTAATCCATTTTGCATGGTCGGTTATATCAAGGGGGGGAAAGCGCAACTAGACGGGGGTGGGGCAGAGCAAGGAAACCTTCTGGAAACACACACTCACAGGAGAGAGGAAGAATTGAAACACCTGAGAAGACTTTCAGAATCTCCCAGCCGGCCCTTCCGTTTTCCTGAAAGATCCTGGATGTTTCCTACCTTTTCAAGGCATCTTGGCGTCTCTGGTGCTTTGTAAGCCGCTTTCCAGCTAGCTGTGTGTGTGAGAGTGTGTGCATGTGTGTATGCGTGTGTGCGCGCACGCCTATCTGATGCATTTGACTGTCTTTTATCCAACTGCCCAGAAGCAAATGTGTTACCTCGGCGATGCCCCTCCATGCCCGGGTTCTCGCTGAGCGCAGAGGACGCCCAGACCCATTTTCCTGGCTGGATACGGAGCGGCTGCCGGGCTGTGGACCCAGCAGGTGTGCGGATTGCTTTACCCAGAGGCTTGGAAAGCAGTGTTAACCTGCTTCCAGGTACATCACAAGGTCAAGAGAGGGTCTTGAAGCCGTCTTGTTTCCGTTCCTCGAGACTTTACCGTCTTGGCCAGACAGGCTATTTACGTTTCGGTCCACAGCATCTGAAGCCAAAAGTTCAGCCCTTCCAGGAGCTGGTTTGCTTTACAAACAAGGTAATGAAGATTGCTTTGCAAACTGCTTGACAGAATTCCTGACTTTCCCTCCACGTTTTCCCCGCGCCTCCCTCCTCCCCACCAAAATGTCACCAGCTCTTGAGTCGCAAGGATTTGGGTTAGAGGAGAACTTGAAGGAAACGTGATCTAAAGGCTATGGGAGAACGCTCTCTTTGCTTCGCAGCCTGTCGCGAGAAGGACCATTTCCCTCCTTGCTTCTTCCCCGTGCGGTGCCGGCTGTGCGTGTGCAAGAGTGAGTACGAGTGCGCGCGCGCCCGGGTGCGAGTGTGAGTGTGTGTGTGTGTGTCTGGGTGTGCGTGCGCGGCCGCCCTGCCTCTGCCCGCTCCCCGGGCGCGGAGCCGCGGGTTTCATGGGGCGATCGGCGCGGATCCCCCAACCAGCGCGACCTGCGGGCAGCGGCGGCAGTGGCAGGAGCCACCTCTCCGACTCCCTAGGATGCGGGTGCTGAGCTATGGCAAAGGGCAGCGAAGTGACGAGCGAGACCAGCGTACGACTGTGAAAGCCACCTGGAGCCACCTTGCTGGGATTGTACCTGCAGGCAGAAAGTCCTCCTACGACCGTCTTTTCCCCTAGAGGCACCAGGTAACAAGCAAATGACTTCTTGCCTCACCCAGTTTCCTTCTGGTCTTGTTTCTAGTGTCTTATCTGCATTGCAGGCTACTTTACTTATTAATGTTTTGAAAATCATTAGGAAGGGCTGGGTATCCAAGGGCGCCTGCTCTGTGATGCTGTAATACAATATCTAGTGGATGGAATATAAATCTATACCTGAGCACTTACTTAGTCTGGTGATGAGAGCCAAGATAGGATGGATATGTGCTTCACGCTAAGGATTTTTTTTTTTTTAATTTTAGATTGAGGTGTGTTGAACCACTCTGAAGATGCCAGAGATTAAAATTCTGTGTTTGCTTCAGGCTATGGTGGCCAAGGACCATTTGGTGTCCAGCCCTCCCCAGATTGTGGGGTGCTAGAGAGTGCTTGATTTTCACCGGTCATTTTAGCCAAAGATTTTTTTTATGCTTCTCCACCCTGGTGCCAGGTTGTTTTCCTTTCCTTGTGGAGGAGCTTGCTAGATTCTTTTTAATACTTGCAAATGACGTATCTGGAGACTTTGATCCCAAATGGAGTTTTCTTGGAACTTGCTTTGCATTGGAAGAAAATCATTGTCAGGGGTGTGTGTGTGTGTGTGTGTGTGTGTGTTGAGACAGAATGTTTGACTGCCAGGGTTTGCTTTCATGTGGCAGAATAATCCATGAAAGAAGTCATTTTTGTATCTAGGAGAATGAGGTACATCCATAACCACCACCCAACACCATCCCCAGCTGTATTGTCTCTGTGGCAGAGAGGAGTTGGTGTGCCTGGTTTTATTCCTTGTTATTAACACCCCCCACCCCCACCCCCGTAAAACAGGTATTTTGAAAATTCTTGCTAGTATCTTGATTTACAAGGAACAGGTTGAATTTGCAGCTGCCTAATTAGCATATTAGGTCTGACATGTTAAGATGGAGATTCCGTGGTCAGCTCAGGCAGAACAAATTTAGATAACTTCCAGAGCCCCTTATCCTCACACCTTATTACCTCCCATTTCCTTTTCATCACCTCTGCTACAGTCCCCTACAGAAAATTTCACTCCCTTCTCGAGGGCATTCGGATTAACAAGATAAAGCACTTCTAAAGTAGTCTCATCAATGTTTTATTCCATAGTGAAGACGGTCTGAATAATTCAGCTAAGGAGTGTTCGATTGTCTCCCGCCTTTGGGAGCTGCTTGCTGTTTGCGCTCAGAGGAGGATTTGGCCCGGCGGATCTCTAGGCGCCCTCCTCAAGGAGGCTCAGACTGGGGCTGCTCTGGGGGTTTCTTTTTGCTGAAGCAGCTTAGCAAGTGTAGGGGCGCTGCCTCATTCTCCTCCACTCGCTGCGTTTCTATAGATATCCATATGATGGCATTTGCGGACTACTAGCCGGCCGAGAGCTGCTCTACTTGTTCCTGCGCGCTGACGTCCCCAACTCCTCCTCTAGAGTCTGGGCTTGGCTGCTGCTGCAGCCCTCGCAGGCTGGTGGTGCTACAAGGCCACGTATGCAGCGGGCTTTGGGGGCTGGGCTTTGCCACTGCAGCTGCCAGGTCGGCTTTGACACTTTCTTGGGGCGGGGCAGCGCTGCTCAGCGGGCCGCCGAGCAGACGGCAGACGCGTCGCGGCCGGCCGAGGTGGTCGCCTGGTTATGAGGGGATGGAGGTGGAGAGAGGCGCAAGGAGGGCAGCGGTGTCCTGCCAGATTCCCTGCACTTGCAAAACCTCTCTCTCTCTCTCTCTCTCTCCCTCTCCCCCACATAGCTTCTTCCCCCTCCCCTCTCTTCCCTCTCTTCTCTCCTTCTTTCTCCTGTATGAATATTCAAGAACACGACCCGAAAACTGGCTACAAAAATACCTTGATATTAAAATGCTGCGTGATTTATCAGGATCAAAACCCTGAAGCTAAGTGTGTATTTCCTAGATTTGCATCTATCCTCTCTCCTCTCCCCTCATATTCTCCTGCATTTTGGCAGGTCATTTATACCCAGATTTGCCTCTAGCTGAAACAAGACTGTAAAGTCAACTAACCTCCCCCCCACCACACCCCCCAATAAGTCTGAAAAGAAAAGGAGAAAAGGAAAAATTTGTGTCTTCAGACGAATTTGCTCTGTAACTTTGCTTTCCAAAGCACCAGGAAGGATACAGAGGGTAACTTGACTTTAACAGAAAAGCAGGTCTCTACCCCACCCTCTCAGGACCCAGAAAGAAAAAGGTATTGCTGCCTGAAATTGTAATGATAATTCAGTTTACTTTCAACATCTGAAAATTTGGGAGAAATTAGACTTTTTTCCTCCTGTCAGCTTTTTTTTTAATGAATTTGTTTGATATCCTCCTATCAAGAAAATCCTAGACTGAAAGCTAGTTTCTGTCTACTAAACATCTGACAAGGACTTTTTCTTTGTCTCCCAGTGTTTCCAGAATATTATTGTAATAGAAATGGTGTCACATTCATAATATTGGTTGGCAGTTAAGTCTTACCTGTGGGGGGTTGCTCAAGAAAAAAAGAAACAGCTGGTGAAAAATATTGGTACTTAGAAAAGAAGGTGTTCCCCTATGTCCTTTGTCATTTCAGTTTCTTCTGGTCTTTTCCACCGAAACATTCAATCTGTTGCAGATTAAGTGTTATCTTTGTACCCTCGTCTTCAGGAGAAGTATATATAAACTGGTGTTGAATGCTCAGAACCCTAAACATAGATTATGGTCTGATTCATGCTTAAACATGCCATGGAGTTCGGTTAAATGTTATGACGAAGTAGATGGGGTTTCTGCCTCCTTTCTCTTCTCCCTTGTCTGAAGAGATGGAGAGAGGACAAACCAAGTGGGAGATCTGAGTCCATTGCCCTTGTTACGTGCTGCTGGCTCAGTGGCCTGACTCACTAATGGTTTAAAACTGCAAGGCATTGGAAATTTCCCAGCAAAAACCCCTTTCCTTAAAAGCCCTCATTTGGTAACTATTATTAGGGGTAGAATAATAGAAAAGTGAGGATGCCCGTGGGAATAGATGAGCAGATAATCAGATGGAAAAAAGTTGTCACCTGATTCCTGTTCCCTAGGCCATTTCTTGTAGTCATTTTTTTCCTTTTCTGTTTTCAAGAGGAGGATGACCTTGAGCAACACTAGTCTTCTGTGCTTCACACACCTTTCTCTAAAATAGGTGATATATATAGATGAGCACACACACACATTTCAGTTTTTGAAATAGGAGACTCTTATGTTACTGTAGTTGGGGTGGAGTTCATCAAGGTGTTTGATTGATATTGGCCTGCTATTTCTTTTCTTTTTCTCAAAAAGAATAGGAAGAACTATGTCACCTCAGAGAATATTGCCCCAATCTTATTCCCCCTTAAGTTATTTTTGTGTGCTGTGCTGTTAAATGTATCCCTGGGGTTCAGTGTTGTGTGGTATAGCACGGGAGCTTCAATGACCTGTCTGTCATATTGACCCTTCATCTTTTCATGAATGAGCGTCATTTCCCTTTGTTCATTTAAACCAGTGTTCTGTTTCCTCTTGCTGCTTGCAGCACTTTTGCCTTGGTGGTTGTGCTGAGTTTTCTGGCTGGTGAAATTAGAATCTTGCTTTCTGCTGATACTATTGCTATGCTCTTATGTGGTGGGGGTGAGATACTAACAGATATCTAGCATCCCTTCCTGTAAATGAAAATACTACATAACAACTACATAGGCATTGATTTAAAGATACATTTACAATAAATAAGATTGCTGATAAGTATTTTTGTCAATACTGAGGTCAAAGGAAAAAAGCTATCTGAAATTTTCTGAAGACTTAACTGGGCCATGTATCACCTTATTCCAGTGATTTTTGCATTCTGTTTATTCAAAAACAGGACATATGGGCATTACATCTGGGTTCTCCATATAGAATATCCATATTTTATGTTTCATTGAAGAGGAAAGTACAAATTGATGCCTTACAGATGTTAGTGTGACACATTAGGTTATGTGACTAACAGGTAATTTTGCTAAATCATTCCAATGGCACACATGTACATAGCTCTGCCTTGTTCAATACACGTTGAGAATGAGACTATTTACTCTGTCTAAAGTCCACATTTTTATTCCTGTGGCATCCTTCAATCATTGAGATCAATTTACAACTGAAGGCAATACACTTTGCCATTATATGGTGTGTGCATGGTGAAATTAAGAAGCATTACGTTTGTAATTATTGAAGCTATTCTGGTTAGAGGTGAACCATTTTTATTATGTTCTATGAACAGAAATTGTACAATATTATGAAAACCCTATCTTCATATAAGAATAACAGGAGATAGTAATATATGAATTTAATTCAGTGATAGAAAATGGTATTTTAAATTTTTTCATTATGATGTTCTGATAGATAGTGTTCTGATAGAATGCTTATTAGTGAAATATAACATAATCTAATGCTAGTTATAAAGACAGTTAACAATTGATAGAAAATAACAATGAAATTGCATGGTTATATAAATGTTTTATCATTTTGCTGATACCAAGAAAACCACATGAAAAGGCTTTATTATTCAAACTACATTTGTAATATTTCTTAAAAGTTGGCTTAGAAAGTCAATGTTTGTTAAATTACACAGTCACATTGGAAGGAAAATACCAAGTGACCAATTCCAATCTTCCTAGAAAATACTTTTATAGGAGAAACTTGACACTTCTGAAAGCTATACTTTCATTCTTGCATTTTCTTTGTGGAGACAGAAGATACATACATACATATTTACATACATACATAATACAGATATGGATAGATAGATGTACATGTTGATATATGGACCTAAATAGCTATGTATATGTAATTGCCTTGAAAAAACCTTATAGTGAAGCATTTTTGAAAGTCTTGTAATCCTTGTAAAGAACAGTTGCAGAATTTTGATAGAAAATTGAACCTATTTTAGATTTTATAACAAAAAAAAACTCTAGAAAAGAGCCAACAAGAGAAATTATTAATGTTATAATATGCTTTTAAAACTTAGGATCTGTTCCTTGATTCTTAGAAACAAAA